CAATTTTCTAAGATATATAGCTGCAATTTTCGAAAATATTTAGCTGCAATAGGAAATTGCAGCTAAATATTTTCTAAAATTGCAGCTAAATATTTTCGAAAATTGCACAGAGAAATAACGAGGTAGTATTATTATGATAGGTCTTTTGCGGGAAGAACATGAAAATGACGAGATAGCATTGTGAAAGATGATCATACAGTGAGTTCACTTGCAGAAAAATAATTTTTTCAAGAGAAAAAAATTAATTCCAGGTCTTCACCCGTCTTCCGCTGGTGGTCGCCTCAGTGGTGACCCTATTGGGTGCCATTGCGATTGGCTTCGTGTTCGGTTGGCAACTTGCCCTGATTTTGTTGGCAATCATCCCACTGATACTTGGAAGTGGATACGTCGAAATGAAACTCCAGGTTCGGATTTATATTTATAATTGTTTATTATTATTATTATATATTATTATTGTTTATTATTATGTATTATTAATGTATATTAATATAATAAATTTTTGTTTTTCAGTTCGGAAAACAGCTCAGGGAAACACAGCTGTTGGAGGAGGCTGGCAAAACGGCTACAGAGGCCGTGGAGAACATCCGAACGGTGCAAGCGCTGAATAAGCAATCGACATTCATAGCCACCTACTCGGAACATCTACAAACGCCATTCAGGTCATTATTTATTATTGTTATTCTGTATGTAGTACATCATTATTGAATATATTATTGTTATTAGATAATAGATGCTTTTTAGATAACAGATAGATAAGTAATAATTAATAGATATTAGATATGGTAATAGATAATTGATAATAGATACTAGATAATGCTCACAAGATATTGGTGCAGCAGTCGGTTTCGAGGAGAAGTTTACTTGAATATGGTGAATGTTCAGGGAGAATATGCGACGTGCACACATCTACGGGGCGGTGTTCGCATTCTCGCAGTCGCTCATCTTCTTTATGTATGCGTTGGCGTTTTGGCTTGGCTCGATTTTCGTTGATTCCGGATATATGCAGCCGATTAATGTGTACAGGTTGGATATTAGTATTGGTATTTTTACTATTGGTGTTTTTATAGGTATTTTATAGGTATTTTTATAGGTATTTTGTAGGTATTTGTAGGTATTATAGGTATTTTTATAGGTATTTGTAGGTATTATAGGTATTTTATAGGTATTTTAATGGGTATTTTTGGTATTATAGATGTAGGTAATTGGTAAGTATTGATATTTTTATTGTGGATATTAGATATTAGATATTTTTGTAATTGTTTATTATTGTTTACGTATTATTTATTGTTGTTGTTGTTTTGCATATTTGTTAGTGTGCAATGGTAATTTGGTTTGCAGGGTATTTTTTGCGATCGCGTTCTGCGGGCAGTCGGTGGGACACATCAGCGCGTTCATACCGGACGTGGTGAAGGCACGCCTGGCCGCGTCGTTGATATTCCACCTGAGCGAATATCCGACGAAAATCGACTCGTTGTCGGATGAGGGCATCGATAAGGTTGGATGTTTATTGTTATTTGGGAGTGTTAGGGTAAGGCTTAGACTTACCCTTGTACTAGGCTAGGCTCATATTTGAAGACGTGGCTTTGGCTGCTTAGGGTTAGGTGGTTTTTTTATATTATTATTAGTTATTGTATTGATAGATTGTTATTATTAGTTAGGTATTTTTGTGATATATTTTTGTCTGTTTAATATTATTTTGTTGGCGAATTGTACTGATAGATTGTCGATAGAATAGGGCGCTGAAAATGGTCGGCGATCAATAGATCACTTTTGATACCGATCGCGATCAAAAGCGATCGATCGAAAAGATCAGTGAAAGTGATCAAATGCGAAGGAATGGCGCGAACTGTCATTGGCGGGAAATTTGGCGTTATAAAAGGCGAGCGCTAAGATGGTGCCGGCCAGTGCTGTGGTTGTGTCGGCGGCGAGTGGTTGGGGTTTGCGTTGTGGCGTGTTTATTGGTTGGCGGGTAGGGCGTGGATCTTGATATGGATTATATATGGTGTTTGGGTGCGTTGGAATACTGGTGCTGTTGAAGTGCTTAGATATTATGTTTCGTCGATACTTTATCGGTGTAATGCCTGTTGCTGGGTTTGGGTTATGCCGTTTGGGTTATACGTCGGACATATTGTTGGTTCAACTGCGACTGGTTCACGAGGTGAACCATCCAATTTCAGCGCCCTATTCTAACCGTGAACCATACAGTTTGTGTGGTGTTGGCATACATTATCATATTGTTATCATTTTGTCGTGTTCTTATCATAGGGTAAGGCCTTGCATTGTACTAGGCTGGGTTCAGATTTGAAGACGTGTCCTTGGCTACAGCCCCTTTTGACTTAGGCCTCATATTGAAACGGTAGATAGTACTAATCTAGGTCTCTGTTCTGATAATATTAGCTAGAAAAAAATTTTGAATTTCGCAGCACAGGTAGCTACCTGTGGTGCAATTTTTCGAAATTTTCGAAAATATTTTTGCCTATTTCTAAGCAGGCGTTTTAGATCTAGGGCTAATATTTGAACAGTAGGTAGTACTAGGTAAGATCTGTACCTTGAGGTAGGTAACTCAAAAAATTTTTATTCGAAAAAAAAACCTGTCATTATTTTTGACAAAAATTTTTTCGAGTTAATATCTTTAGGAAGAAGATCTAGGCTAGTATTAGATACTATTTTAATATGAGGCATAGGTAATAAGCAGCTGCTTAGGAATAGGCCAAAATATTTTCGAAAATTTGCTTTGATCGATCACGATCAAATATGCTCGATCGATTTTGATCAGTAAAAGTGATCAAAGGCGAAGGAATGGCGCGAACCGTGATTGGCGGGAATTT